TTATTCTAAGAATATAAAATTAATTTATAGACCAATCATATTGTGACACATATTTATTATTAATTTTATAGAATGCCACGTCAATAACAAAGATGGAGGGAAATAATCCTAATGATTAAATACATTTTGCCTAGCCTTGAAGGCTAGCTACATGTAGCTAGCGAATGTGAGCTGAGCCAAAATGCCTAATCATATGCCTAGTGCATTGGAGTTGAAAAAAGTGAGTCACATTAGACATTTTGACTAACAAGCATTATATGCCTAGTGGGTTGGAGATGCTCTTAGAAGTCTTATGGGTTAGAAACCCATCAATATTCATTCCTTGATTTATGCATCTTTTATTAAATTATAAAAGATGCATAAATTAAGGAATGAATATTGATCTTATTCTAGTAACATAATTTAAGAAATAATCTAAATTTAAAATTTTATTCTAAGAATATAAAATTAATTTATAGACCAATCATATTGTGACACATATTAATAAAATTAAACAAAATAAAAAATGTTTTGCAATTATAATGATAATTTTAAATTTGTATTTAAAACTTATAAATCATGTGATAGATCATTATAATTTTAAATTTATATTATGCCAATTTTAAATTTAAATTAATAGATTGCTTTTCATATTTAGGGTCTGTTTGAGATGTGGGTTAACTTTTTGGTTATTTTAGTCTGAGGCTAAAAAGCCTCATTTAGGATAGACTTTTTGATTTTTTTGACTTTTGTGAAAGAAAAAATGAAATGATTATAGTTTGGATATAACATTTTATCTTATTGACTTTTTAGCTCATAATTTTTGTATTAAGGAGCAATAACAGTGACATTGAGATTATTTATATATTTTACAGAAGAATGTTTTTAAAAAGAGAAATTATGAGAGTTTTAAAATCTCATAAAATCTATATACTAATATAATTGCAAATGGTTGTCATCTCATTAAAGGTAAAAATTGCAATTCTTTATTTTATTTTGTTTAATTTTTGTTAATGTGTCACAATATGATTGGTCTATAAGTTAATTTTATATTATTAAAATAAAATTTTAAATTTAGATTCTTCCTTAAATGATGTTACCAGAATAAAATCAATATTCATTCCTTAATTTATGCATTTTTTATTAAATTATAAAATAAAATTTTAAATTTAAATTGTTTTTAAAATTATGTCACTACAATTAGAATGAGATCAATATTCACATGTGTCATAATATTATTGGTCTAAACATTATATGTTATTAAATACACGTATTCAAATTATTAATCACTATTAAAAGTTTATATTTTTATTTTTGTCATTTTTGGTTTTAAATTTTATACTCTTTTATATATATATATATATATATATATCTTTCTAAACTACAAGGACTTAAACAATAATTTTTTTTATTACAAATATTGTTTTTTCACAATAGACAAAAACATTAAGAAAATGAATGACTTTTTTAACAATTGTCAAATATAATGGATTCTATTATTATTATTTTTTTTCAATCTCAATTGTCAATTAAACAAATTAAAATTAAAAAAATAATTTTTTTTGGCTTAAATAGTTAAGAAGTGACTTTTTCAAATAAAAATAAACATTTTTTTTCCCTATTAAAAGTAATAGTTGGTGAAACTTATTTTTTTTATATAATAAAAAAAAAAGAAAATGGGAGTTACATGTGATAATTTATTATTCTAGTAATGCTACAGGCCTACACTTTCACACACAATGATGTAGTAAGAGAGTTGGTCCCCATGTCATTGAGTGTATAGCAAATCAAGAGTTGACGGGCGATTCTATTTACACCCAAAAAATCATTAAATACTCCCAATTTCTAAGTATACCCTGTTTAATTATTTAAAATCTTGTTTTACGCTCATTACATCCTATTATTTTTCCCAAGTTACCCTTAAGGTAAACCCAAATAATAAATAATAAACAAACTAAAAAAATTAAATTATTTCAAAAACTTTTCAATGTAGGAACAACAAAGGTAGACTCTATAATCAGAGACACCATCGACAAGCTTCTCCTCCTTCACTTCGGTCGATCTTTCAGTCCCCTCTATCTCCAGCTCAATGACATTGTACGTTTAGGGTTTTCTTTTCTCTCTTCTCTGTTGTTTGATTTTCTTTCTGGGATATATAATGACTTAAATGTTGATGGAAGACCTAATTTGAATCGCAAATGCACACGATGAAAAAAAAGTCTCAATTTTGTTTGTATCTCAAAATTCTCATCTAATCATGAAGCAATACAGTTTGATTCTATAAATCAAAACTTAAATAAATAAATAAATAAATTGCTTTAAACATTGTTAAAATGACTTATCGCTTGTATACTTTGCTTATCAAATTGCCTTGCCTCTGATTTTTTGTGTCTCTTTCTTCTCTTATTGTTTTGCTATTCTAATTTGTTGATTACTGTGTGACAATTCTCTTGCTGTTTTGCTATTTCAACTTGTTGATTACTATGTGTTTGAAAAAATGCTTGAATGAGAAACGCTCTACTACCTTGCTTGGCTTACCTCTTTTATTGAATTTTTTTTCTATATCTTTTTACAAATACTATACTTTTTAAGTGTATATGCATATTAAAAAAAGTAAAAAAAAATTACTTAAAATATTAAAAAAATTCACTACACAAAAAATGGAAAACAAAAAATTTAATTTTCAGAAAAACAGTTTAAACTAGATTGATGGTGCAATGAGTTTTCTTTTTAAATATGAGTTTTCTTTGATTTTCTACTATTCTGAATTTGTTGTTTCACTATTACAAGTCTGAAACTCTTCAATTTTTCGCCTTGTCTAGCTCACAAAGAATAGCTATGTCTGCCATGCTATAATACTAAGGACAACTCTGAGAAATCTAGATATCCCATAAATATTGATTTGTGATTATGTATCAATTATGTATCAGTTTTAAGCTGTAAATAACAATCTCAATTAAACAATCAAGATAAATCGACAAAACAATTTTACGTGGAAAAATCACAATTGGAGCGCCTTCAATTATGATAAAAAACCATGGGCAAAAGCCACAAAACAATCCACTAAGAAGACATAAAAGAATTACACAAGTGTACTCTCAATTACCCACCTAATCCACGCCCGAATTGAACCGACCCCTATGTGCCTCTTCCAGCCCCGTCTTCACCTCAGAATTTTCTTGTACAACGTTGAATCCACAACGCTGATGTCGAATCCACAACGATGAGCCACTCTAGAATCCACCACGGCTTCAGGCCCAAATTTCAGTGAATCCATCGAAGAATAACTATTTTTTTTTTTTTTTGAATAAAACAAACTAAACAAACCCTTTGATATAATCCACTCAATTCATGATTAATCTCTCACAGATATCAAAGGAAACAAGTAAAAGAACTCTAGATGAAAAGCCCAATACCCAAGAAGAAGATCTGGAAGCTGTAACCCTAAAATCTGATTGAATCGCATATTTATAGAAAACAGATCCGCGATCTCTACTCGAGTGCAAGAATGGCCGCTCGAGCGGACCTCGCTCGAGCGCAAAAAAGTTCGCTCGAGTGTAAAATCCCAACTTCCAGTACTTTGCAGACAGGTCAAACTTCTGGAACCAAATATTTTCCGCTCGAGCGCACAAACGGCCGCTCGAGCAGACAAGCAACTTCGAATTTATTTTTGCATTTTTCTTCAGAGGCGCTGTCCCCTCGACCTCGCCGCTGTCTCGGACCCATCAAGGAGCGTTGCCCCCTGGATCCCCACGAGCTAACCAGGTAGCTCAATCCCTGACATAGTCAGCGAAGTGGCAAACAAGATAGGATAAGATCATAAACTCCTCTGCATAGGTACAATTCGGGTTGGATTCGCATTTAAAACTCATAACCTCACCGAAATAAAAAGATCGAATAAAATTACAATTGAAAGATGTTTTGTCAAACGGGATTACTAAGAATAAAAATCTAACAAACTCAAATTAGGAAAATTTGTAACTTGAAGTTATAAAAACTTGGGAATAAAATTGGACTATACTACTTTCTGTTCACATTGTTTTGCTTTAATGTAAAAGAAAATCCAAAGTTTGTGTGCTTTGTGATCTTTGAAAGGTGGATTTTGTCACATTTGTCACTTGCATGACATTTATGTGAACCTTGTTCTTCTTTATTATCCATATAGTTTTCCCTTCTTTTTTTCTCTGCTTTCATTCTTGGAAGTTGTTTTGCACTACTTTGTGAAAAAGGTTGCCAAAAGCAATGAAAGCAATGAAATAAGAAATAAGAAATAAGAAAGCAATGAAATAAGAAATAAGAAATAAGAAAGCAATGAAAAAGAAAACTGTATTTACCATTTAATGGTTATGTTTTTGCTCATTGAACATTTGTCATTTGTTTATCCTATGTTGCTTTTGTAGAGGATTGGTTCTCAAGAAAGAGAGAAATGTGTGAAAAAGATTTCTTGCTCGCCTACTATCAGCTACACGCTACTACAACATATAAGAGTTTTAGAGACCAAATGTTTTGGATTTTAAAAGTGAAAATTTTGTTACAAAAGACATTTAGGGACCAATTTCTATCATCATAAGGATAGTTGCTAAAAGGTCATCTAAAAAAGTAAAAAACAAGGCTTTTAGGAACACTATTGTGAAAATGTTAGACTTTTAGGGACAAAATAATTTGGTCTCAAAATAGTTTATTTTTGAGACGAAAAATTTGGTTCCAAAATGATAATAATTCGTCATTAATGTCCAATTTCTGTTGCTAAAAATAAAATAATGACACTTTTCACAACAAAAATATTTAGCCCCTAAAAAATAATTGTCACTAAATTTTAGCCTTTAAAACTTTGATTTTTTGTACTGCGCGAGAAGAGAGGCAAATGCCAATCTCAAGATCTACCAACAATCTGATTTGTGAAGGATATGAAGCTTACAAAAATCTGGGTCCCAGCAGGACCTAAATCCTCTCAGGGCCAGTCGCATGTGCAAATGGAACTCTACTTCTGTTTTAGATCACAGAAGTAAGTTTACAGCCAAATGGATAAGTTAGTCTATTTTTTATTCAAATCTAACATGACCTGAAAGAAGCTCAGTATAGTTAATTTCACATTGAAAATTTAAAATTTTAAGGTATTCTAACCTTTCTACGTCCTTACAAAACTATAATGGGCGAATTAATCTTGTGTCATTGTACATGGGTGTGCCTTCACATGGTTTTTTCTTCATATTGAACTAGTCAGATAAGTGAAGAACTGGAACACATAATTGGAATTATGGAAACTTCAGTGAACAGGTGTAGAATGATCTTGGATTCTGTTTAAAGAGATATCATGCGAGTAAACAAGGGAACGGAGGAAGTATTAATGGGGAGTAAGTATCTCAAATCTCAATTGCCAAATACATTGGTATATAGGAGTTAGGACAGTTACTTGGTTCGGTAATTATTGTTAGATATACACTTATCTGTAATCACTTGTTTGTTGGCCGTGACCAGGTACATGAAGTCTCTAAAAAACATTTGAGTATTACTTTTGTGTTTTCAAAGTGACCCAAGCCTTTTTTATTCAAGCATTAAGAACTGAAAATAGCGTAATTCCACCAATTCAGTTGAAAATAATATATCATTGCTTGGCAAGGAATTTGATGTAGATGGTTTGTTTTACTTAAATTTAGGTGTATATATTTTTTATGATGAACTAATAGATATCCTTGGTTTGGCTTGCCAAGAGAATATTAATCAATTGTCTAAAACTCACATTTGACAAATTATGAATTGTGTAAAGAAGCGCGCACACACACAGTTGATAAATTACATTTTACAAATGACTTCTTGATACAACTCGAAAATTATGCCCAATTAGTTGATATCACCTCTTTTTCAATTTGGTATTTGCTAGATTACATTTTACAAGTTCAAAGGCAATTTTCTATTTGCTAGATTACATTGTTCTCTTTTGTTGAGGGTAAATTTGAAACAATGTATATAATATAGCCTTTGACTTAATGACAGTATAACCTTCAAGCTGTTTGCCTTCGAGTTAATGATAGTATACCTTTCTAACCGTTTGCCTTTGAGTTGATGATAGTACACCCTTCAAACTGTTTGCCTCTACAAAGATCAAGTGATGCCTAGCTTTCTTTTTAGTCCCTTAGAGTGAGTACCATCGCTTTTGTAATTTATTTTTTATTACTGGTTTAATTATTGTTGCCTCTATCCTTTCAAGTGGCTAAAAGGATTCTTCTTCATTTTAGCCCTAAAGTGCATCCGAAGGTTTATGGGAAAACAACTCTGATTCCAAAGATAGAATCGGGAAGGTGGACCTCTGTCAAACAGAACAAGCTTCTTTTAAAAATGGGGGCCCTAGTAAGGAGCACAAACAGAAGTCTCTCATTGAACCGGTAAATCTCAATTCATTTTTCTTTCATTTTGCTCACTTCTTTCTTTCTTTTTTTATTTTTTATTTTTGTACATGACTTAGTTGATTATCATTGTGAAAACTCTATGGATACTTCAAACAGTATATATCTTGTTTTCTATGTTTAAATTGAGGTGGTTGATGATGCAGGAAAGAGAATGGGAAATTCCTATTGAAAGGAACTCTGATCCCAATCAGCAGGCAGGAAATTCAGCCCCAAAGGCAGCTTCGGACTCCAGCATCATTATGTTTTGTGGATGTTGAAACCAAACACTCTAGGAACATAACTAACATCATTTGTTGGCATGTCAACATTGTATTGTAATAATACTTTAAAACATGGCCTTTGGATATTTTAATTCTTATATTTTATATTAATACCTTAATATATGTTGTTCCTTTATATATTATTTTTCTGCTAATCAAGTAGACGTTACATTGGCATGAAATGAAAATTTTCAACAATCAAATAGCAGAACGGTGTCCAGCGATGGAAAAAAGAAAAAGAAAAACATAGCATTTGAAATAAACTAGGTTGCTTAACATTTATGTTTCAACCATTGATTTTAATGTGCTTTCTAAGTTTTCAATATTGTATTTTATTGTTTGTGGATTGTTGCCTTCATTGTTTTTGTTAATGACAACAACTTTTTGAGGATTGTGGGAGCATTTTGTTGGAAATTTCTGTGAAAGTAAGGATTATTGTTGAAGTGTTTTTTAGGTTATGTTTGGAGTATGAATTTAAGTAGGAATTTGAAAAATAAAAGTGAAAAAGTTTGTGAAATGTATATTAGGGGTGAAAGAATAATCACTAAAACTGAACTGACTGCACTAAACCGAACAGCCTGTTTATGGTCTGTTTGTTTCTCGATAATTCGGTCGATCGGCGTGATTTTTCAAAATTTTCAATTTTCGGTTTTTCAATTTTCGGTTTCGGTTAAGTTTAGGTGAATTTTATACCGAGCCTCACCAAATTAGACTCCCATTTTTGCCATCCACGTTTTTTAATCCTAGCAGCCCACTCTTTTGGCCTTCCCACATAATGACACAACTTTTTGACTTTCCAAGTTCCCACGGTGAAAAAAGTTGAATCACTTTTTTGCTAGTTGAAATCTTGAAACAAAGTCTTGATACTAGATAAATTTTATCCCTAATTTTTTAATTTGAACACCTTAATTTATTTATTTTTTTAGGGGTTAAAAACACCTTGTTTTTGACACAAATCCTTAATTTTTTAAAACTTTTCAAAAGGTTCTAGTTTAGATTGACTTTTGTGTCAACCCTATTTTTGACCCTGCTTATATATAATATATATATATATATATATAATATAATATAATATAATATAAATATGTATAATATTTATGATGTGTTCGAAAGGGTTTTAATGTTTGTGAATCACTTGATTTTGATGGTGTTTTGGATCTATAAAAAGATAATAATATTTTCCATTATTTTTGACAAACTTCTCTTAACATACAAATGAAATTTTTTTTTTCCGTTAAAATATATATTTTTTCTTTTAGTTAAAATTTGTTCTTGTTATTATTATTACTTTATTACGATTTTTTTCTTTTAGTGGTGATAATATATATTTTTTTGTTAATAGGAGTATTAGGATTTTTTCTGTTAGTTATTATGTTTAGATGAATGATTTAATTTCTGTTAGTTAAAATTTGTTCTTATTATTATTATCAAAAAAAAAAAACCTTTGACAATGTATTTTTCTATTAGTTAAAATTTGTTCTTGTTATTATTATCATTTTATTAGTTACTGTTTCTTTTTTTTTTCTTTTTTTTTTTGATAAATCAAATATTACTTGTTATTATGTTTAGATGGATGATTTAATTTTCCATACACAAGGGCCCAATGAAATCACTACAACACACGAACATGAGAATGAAAGCACAAAAAATTAGCCTAACATTGTCAAGGGTAAAAGAGAAAGATCTTTGGTTTGGGATCATTTCACAAAATTGAAGTGTGAATCTGGTAAAAAAAACTAGTGCCTCTTGTAACTATTGTCGTACAACTTATGCATGCGATCCAAAAATTAATGGGATAACATCAATGTGAGCTCATATAGAATCAAAGTGTAAGAAGTATCCCCTAAGGCAAGCTGAAAAGCAAACTACACTAGGTTTTAAACCAAAAAATGAAACTGGTGATGGGGAAACAGTTGGTAATCTTGTGGCTGTAAGCTTTAGTGTTGATGCATGTAGAAAGGCCCCAGCAAAGATGATAATAATAGATGAATTACCATTTAAATTTGTGGAGGGTGAAGGATTTAGGGAATTTATGCGTGTGGTGCAACCCAAGAGGTTAAAAATCTCATCTAGGATTACCATTGCCAAAGAATGTATGTCAATATTTGTGAGTGAGAAGAAGGCTTTGAAGAATGCACTTAGAGGTCAACGACTATGTCTTACCACAGACACTTGGACATCCGTGCAAAACTTGAATTATATGTGTCTCACTGCACATTTGATTGATTGTGATTGGAAACTTCATAAAAAATTTCTGAACTTTTGTATAGTTCCAAATCACAAAGGTGACACACTTGGTAAGGTGATTGAGGATTGTTTGGTAGCATGGGGAATTGATAAATTTCTCACAATCACGGTTGATAATGCAAGCTGAAATAATGGTCCCATTAACTTTTTGAAGCAAAAGACGAAGAGAAGAAATAATACCATATTAGAGCACGACTTTTTACATGTGAGATGTTGTGCTCACATATTGAATTTAATTGTTTGTGAGGGATTGAAAGAAATTGATGATTCCATAACAAGAATTCGGCGTGATAAAATTTGTGAGATCCTCTCCATCTAGAATGGCCAAGTTCAAATTATGTGTTGAAAAAGAGGGCATTGAGTTTAATAGTAAACCTTGTTTGGATGTGGCTACCCGGTGGAACTCTACGTATTTCATGTTAGAAAGGGCTATACAATTTCAAAAGGTTTTCGAGCAGTTAGACGATGATGACACCCACCTCCGCTCGAATCTTAGAGAGGATGAGGTTGGTGAGGTTAGTGAGATTAGTGAGGTTGATGAGATTGATGAGGTTGATGAGGGAGAAGTTAGTGACATTGGTGAAGAGGATGAAGTTGCTTTAAGTAATAATACACTACAAGAAAAAGGGGCATATAACACGGAAGTATTTGCGACGGCACTATTCCCGTCGCAAAAAGTGAGTTTTTGCGACGGCACCAGTTGCCGTCACCAATAAATCGGGTTTAAGCGACGGCACTACTTCCCGTCACAAAAAAGCAAGTTTTTGCGAACGCATGAACCACCGTCGCAAAAAAAAAAACGCAATCTGAGTGCTCAGCTTTATTTTTCCCTTCGCGCTTGTTTTTCCCTCTCTCCCTTCCCTCCCCCCAAAAAAAAACCCTATCAAAAATCCACCCTTACCATCTGCAGTGGCCACCAGCGGCTGTTCCTCCACCTCTTCCTACTCCCACGGCTGCTCCTCCTCTTCACCACCATTCCATGCCCATGGAAAGCCCTAATTGCCTCTCCAACGACGAGGTACATTTTCAATTTCATCTTATCAATTTGATCGATTCATTTTCAAATCATTAGTAGATCCATTAGATTCATCACTGTGTTTGGTTTCTAGGTTCGAACGATCAAAAATCCACCCCTACCATCCGCAGTGGCCGTCGGCGACTGTTCCTCCACCTCCTCCTACTCCCACGGCTACTCCTCCTCTTCACCACCATTCCATGCCCCTGGAAAACCCTAATCGCCTCTCCAACGGCGAGGTACATTTTCAATTTCATCTCAACAATTCGATCGATTCATTTTCAAATCATTAGAAGATCCATTAGATGGTTTCTAGGTTCAAACGATCTTCATATCGGGCCTCCCCGAGGACGTGAAGGAGAGAGAACTCCAGAACCTTCTCAGATGGTTACCTCGTTACGAGGCTTCGCAGGTTAACTGCAAAGGTGAACATCCTATGGGTTTCGCTCTCTTCACTACTTCTCTTTTTGCCATTGCTGCCAAAGATGCCCTTCAGGCTCTCATTTTCACAATCTTTACCTATATTATTTGTTTTGATTAATCGATCTCTGTTGTACTAAATTATTATTGGGTTTGGTTTTGTGGTTTAGGAGATGGTGTTTGATGAGGAATCAAAGTTTGTTTTGCACACAGAGATGGCAAAGAAAAATCTATTTGTCAAAAGGGGTGAGTTTTCTATTTTTAATCGAAGCTTTCTTTACTTCAAAAGTCATGTCAGAAAATAGGGTTAAATATTGTAGACTTGTAGTGTTGTTTTTTGTTTGTTTTCTTGTTTCAAAATAATTTGAAGCCTCGTAACTAGACCAGAGCTATTCGAAGCCCCATAAGCCTAGCTAATTAGTTGTTCCTGCTAATGAGCTTTGCACTTTAGTATCTCTGTAATGAGTAAACCAATTTGGAAGCAAGTTTGTCTGCTTACTGTGTTTCTTAGCTAACTTTTACTTGAAGTAACTCAAACCTGATGAATTTAACAGATATTATCAGTGTGACTTCCAAATTGCATGTTGTACACTTCTATATAAGGAAAAAGATGTCTCTATGGGCCAAATTACTCATACAGTACTTTGACAAAGTTGCTTGATTACTTTTTAAAATTTGAAATGACAGTTGGGTGAAGATATTAACTAGTTCAAGAAAATTCAAACTCATCATAATTAAATTTCTCTTCATTCTTCAGAATTTGGTTCATTACTCCATAGTTGTAAGATCTGTTTATAACAGACTGTTGGTAAGAGACTATCACGTATTGTCAGGGGTGTGTCTGTAAAAAATTTAACATTCTTTGTTCTTTCATTGTTTTCAAGTAACAGTAGCTACAACTTTGCTGAATAGTCTGGGATTCTGAATTCTTATTTGTATTTCAGGTTGACCCCCGATTTGTTTGGAACATAAATATTTTGGAGGAGCTCATTGAGAATAAGGTTAACATTTCTTATGTTCAAAAGATGTTATCATTGCTTTGTACTCACCTGTCTTTCCTTAGGAAACAAATATTGCATTAAGTTTGCAATAAAAAACAAAGCAAGTACTTCTAAGTGATTAATCAACGTTGTCTATTTGGACATCTAAAATATGATCACTGAAACAAATTCTTTGTCTAATATGTTTTATTTTTCCTATGCAGCTTGATGGGTTTATCATCCCTCTGTTACAAGGGAACATCCTGAAGCTTTTCAATGCTTATTTTGTGTGTGTGTGTGAGCGCATGTGTTTATGCATGAGCACATGCGTGCGTGTTAAAGGTAACTATGGATGCAAGAGTAGTTTCTTATTTATGGTGTTTTCACTTAACCAAGGCATAAGCTATTAGACTGGACAACTCAAGTTGAAAACTTCACCAGCC